GGCTGTGGAATAAAAACAGCCTTCTCCCACAGCTGGCTTCAGAAAATCCAATGTCCCCTTCTCCGGGGGGCAGCTTCGGCCAGAGCTTGGGCTGAGGTGGGGGGGCAGCCGGAGGAGCGAGACATAACTGGAGCCTGGGTGTAAAAGCGTCCGGAGGGAAGGATCCGCTCCCTGGGACAGGAATGGGGAAATAAGGGAGAGGATAAAAGGGCACTGGGGGAGAGGCAGTAGCGGGGAGGGGCAGGTTGAAAGGCACCGTGGGGAGAGGGCGACATTCCTGGCACACTCAGCGCCTCACTGGGGGTCTTGGTGAGAGGCTGGGGGGGTCCACCTGCACCACACCCCAATGCCAGGACCCTCTGGTCCCTCATCGCGTGGCAAAGTCTGCTCGCTGTGGCGTGGCTAGGATCCATCTCTCCAGCAAGCACTGGGAGTTCTGACCTGCTACCACCTTCCTCCTGGTTAATAATTGGAAACCGTTTGCGGGAAGACAGTGAGGTGGCCATGTGCTATTTTTGTTTAATTGTCTTAATTGCAGGTTATTTAGAAGGGAGCAGGGTTTGCGGAGGGCATTTTGGACCCAGCAGGCAGAGGAGCCAGCCAAGGGGGGACACAGCCGCCCAAAGAGCAGAGCCCCCCCCCCCCGCCCCCCGCTCAGGGCTGGGAGGAGCAGCATGGGTCGCCACACCGGTGCAGACACCTGTATAAACTCAGAAAAGGGAACGCTGGGTTTCTGTTGCCATAGTTACGCTGGGTTAAAAAAAAAAAAATCACACCTAAATGGCATAATTTTTGGTGAAGAAAGCACGTGCCAGGCCTCCTCCTCCCTGGAGCAGTGCTCCAGCCAGCCCCAACCTGCTGCTTCCCAGCAAGTCTGGGGGCATAACATATGTTTTTTTGCTGTCAGCCTTGGTTTTTACAAGCTTTTGGGTCTGTTGGTGCTAAATGTGTCCCTCCCCACCAAGTTTCCCTGTGGTGGGGCTGGATGCTGGGATTGTGGGGGTCCGGAGGAGCCGGGGCTGAGCTGCCGCCTGGTTTCCCAGCCCTGCCTTGCCGCAGGCTCACGTGGAGAAGGAGACACAATATTTAGAGAGGGTTTTGGCTGACGTGCGGCTCGGTAGAACCGTCGTGGAGCTGTTTAGTCTCAAGGGGAGTGAGGCTAGGAGGGTGAATCGCACTGTGGCTCGCAGCCCAAGCTGCTGAGCACGGGTGAGCCGGTGAGCCGGCGGATGGACAATGTTTGTGAGCCAGTGGTTATAAATTCTAGCTGGATCAAAGGCAAGGCCTTGTTAGCTTTGGGCGGAGAGCTGGCTAATTAGCAGGCTGCAAACCCCCCCTCCCCTCGCCCCAATTTGGCACCCAGCCCATCGGAAGTGTTTCCCGGGTCATTCCCTGGGTCTGGCCATCCCCCTCTCCGTCCTCCCCTTCTCCATCTGCAGCCAGCGGTGAGTTTGCCTCTGTGGTGGTTCTTCATCGTCTCCTCGGGTGAGGGGACAGGCACTGACGCGCTGCCCAGAGCGGAAAGGTGCCGGCTACTCCAGGATTTCGGAGATCTGGCTCCCCTGTACATCCCTACTCCCCTGAAGGCAAGGATGAGGCTCAAAGTCAGCCCTGATTCTTGCAGGAGGAATAGATGGCATTGGAAACGGTTCCTCTGTGGGTGTCGGAAGGACCAGCATGCTCGTCTTCAAGTTAATTAATTTTTTTGGAGTGGTTTTGTGTCTTTTTGATCTCGAGGGAAGCTGCCGACGTGCCAAACGTCCCGCTCGGCCGGGGCTGACTTTGGAGAGGGAAGGAGGCGGCGAGCGTCAAGCCTCAGATCCCTTAAACATCTGCTTTGCTGAAATGGAAACGACCGAGGCCTCATCCCATCCCTTGTGGGGGGAAAGGCAGCCAGGATGGAAGGACGGGGACGTTCCCGCTTGGAGCGTACCGGTGCAGAGCCATCCCAACGGCTGCGGTTTTGCTGCTGGTATGTGTCCAGTCCCCGGGGTTTCTCCTCTGGAATCTCAGCTATGTGGCTGGAACAGCAGGGCACGATCTGCCAGCGTCCCTCCTTCCCGGCGTCCCTCCTTCCCAGCATCGGCAAACACGCCGGAAAAAAAAGGAAAATTACTGCCAGTGCGCAGCCTTAAATAGACGTGCGCGCTCCTGGCTTCCTCCCGCTTCCGACGCCGATGGTACCGGAAAAATAACTCGGGGAAAACACAATCTCCTTGAGGGCCTACAGGGTGATAACGAGCCTGCGGGGCGATAACGAGCCCACGGAACAGTAATGAGCATGGTTTGGGAGATGCTTGTCCCACAGAGTGAACGCCTGCTTCTCGCAGCGTCGTCTCATGTGCTGGAGTCATTAATTGCACCCGCCGCTGGCTCATCAGATTCAGGCTGCCCTGTGCCGCTTAACGACCTCAGCGTGTTAACAAGGCCGAGCCCACGGCTGGGGCTGGAGTCTTGCCTGCGGTGGGGATGAACGGCGAGGACCGGCGGACAGAGTTGCTCGTGGCTCGAGAGGTTTAATGCCAAGCGGCGGGGGCTTCACCTTGCCTCCACCGAGAGCATGGACGTGATGGAGGAGCGGCTGCTTCTCCGCTGCCCAGCTGGATTCTTGGTTTCTCTCCAAAAACAAAACATCCGGCCCCAAGAGCCCTACGCCTCCTCGGAAAACATCGCCGGCATCCTCGACTCCCTCCAGCTCGTGCGCAGTGGCTTTCAGGCTCGTGCCTGAAGCAGGATTCACCTTTAAACCCTCCTTTGGAGGAAAATGCCCTCTGCATCCCCATTTTCCTTGCCCTCAGCCTGTCACTGATGTTTTCCTGGCATTGGAGATGGCTTTTCCAGAGCATGGAAAAGCCCCCGTGTTGCGTTCGACCCCTTTTTTTTTTTTCCATGGGAGCTCATACGAAAAAACCCCATGGCGATTCCTGGTGCGATGGTATAAAGATTCTCGTCCCGATGGCTGGGGTCGGGTGCATTTTTCTCCTGCGCTTAAGCCCCTTTCAGGCTACCTGGCTCTCTTTTTTAAAAATAATCCGCCTACGTAATCCCACTGAGGCAACTTTTCAATCCCAAATTGGATCCTTGACGGCAGATTACTTACCTGGTCGTGGTAGTGGCGGCACGTTAATGCCTGTTTAATAACGCAGACCTGCCAGGCAGGAGCCCCAGTTACGCAAAGAGCCGGGGAAATGCTCTGGCAGGGTTTTCCACAGTGCCCAAACACGACGCCTCTTCCTAACAAGGAGGACTGATGACTGGGGATTGGGAAAGAAGGATCTGGGGACTCTGCGCTCCTCCTGGGAGCCGCTCGCACTGCCAGGACAAGAGGTGCCGGTTGGTGGTATAAACGAGCGGTAATTCCTCCATCTGGACATTTGGCTTGGTAATACCTCTGCTTTTCTTTTTTTCTTTTTTCTTTTTTTTTCCTGTTTTTTTGGCAT